CCGCACCCCGCGCGCGCGCCGGGGGCTAAGGGTCCAGACTGGCGGAGGCGGCGTCCCGGGACGGCGCGGACCCCATGGGCTGCTGCCCCGGCCGCTGCGGCGCTCATCTTCGTCTGCACTTTCCAGCTGGTGAGTGGCGGCTCCTCCTCAGGTGCCGCGGTCCCAGCGCGCGGAGTGGGGGTGGGTTCCCGCTGGCGACGGTGCGGGCCCGCGGCCTCTGGGGCGAAGTTCGCCGCGGTCCGGGAAGGGTAGGGAGCCCGCGTCCTGCGCGCGACCCCGATGGCCCCTCCCGCCAACCTCGAGTGCCCCGCTGGGTGTGTGTGCTCGTGGGGAAGGGGGGCAGCCGCGGGGACCCGAGCGGCGCGGACAGGTGCCGGGAGGAACAGAAGCCTTCGGGCGGGGCTCCTGGACCCTGCTGTCGCCGGCGCCTCGGGCGAGGCGCGTCCTTGGGCGCAGGGGGAGCCTGGCCCGCGCATGAGTCGGGTAGTCGGTCGCGGTCGCGGAAGGGCGCTGCTGCGCGCGGCGTCCGCGAGTGTCGGAAGGCGCGTGTGGCCCCGAATGTGCGCGCAGGGACCGTGTGCCTGTGTGTGTGCGCGCGTTCCCTTTACAAAGCCAGCGCCAGGCCCTTGGGTGAGCGGCGGCGGCCCATTTCTAAAGCCTGACAGCCTGGGGGTGGGGGTGTGCTTGTGAGTTTGCGAGTACGTGAGAGTGTGTGTCAGCGGTGTGTGAGCGCGGCCTTGTCTGCCCTTGGCGCCTCCCAAGCTGGGGGATGTGGCCCCCTCGCTCCTTCCCTGTCCTGGAGAGAGTGCGGAGAGAAGAGGTGCGAGCTGGTGTCCAGAGTTGCACTTGGGCACCTTTTGTGTTGGGGATTAGCTGGTCCTCTGGATCCAGAGCTTTGTCAGAGAACGTGGGCATCCCTCCGCCAAGTTTCCATTTTGCCCTCGGAGATCCAGACCGCCTGGTCAGTCCCATTCCCAGAGCCCAAGGCCCTGGGTGGGGGTGGTGGAGTGCTAAACTGAGGTCCCTGGCCATAGGCCTGGGGAGGAGATGCTGTTGAGCCCTGGGGTCTCCCATCTTAAAAAGGAAATGCTGCCTTGTTGAGGTCAGGCTGGGTGGGCTTCTGGCTCAGCCGGGCAGGGGTCTTCCTTCCCTGGAAGCCTGAAGGCTCATGGAGGATGAAGTTTTAAGCAGAAAGCCCCCCCACACACAGGGCATCCTGTCCTTTGTCTGTCCATTGCGTGGGGGTGAGGGTTGCGCGCAGAGTTGGCAGGGGGCTGAGATACCAGGCTGGTGTGTCCCCTGTGGAGGAAGGAAGGAGTGGCCAGAGGCTCCCTGTGGGCGCACACACAGTGCTTTGGAAGCCTGAGGGGGTGGGGGTGATGGGAGGATGGGGGAGGTGGACATCTACAGGGTTTGTGCTGGACAGATAAGGCTGGGAGGAAGCTCTGGGCTTCGCCAAAGGCTAGAGCCCAAGGACTACTCCACCGGCAGCAGGGAGCTATCTCCATCTTGGAGCAGAAGTGTCCCCCACTCTGTTTTGGTAGGAGGCTCCTGGGGGTGGGGTGGGGGAGCAGGAGAGGGGAAGGAAAGGTTTATGTGATGAAGGATGGCGAGGAGCCCAGGCTGATCAGGAGGTCAGCAGTCTGGTCACGTCTGGACATCATGAAGCAGAGTGGCCTTCGGGGGTTAGTGTGACTTTGGTTTCCATGTGTTGAGTTTGGTGTGTGGGATGTAGTCAGGATTGACTTGTGACCTGGGGCTCCGGGCAGCAGAAATAGATGTACTGGGTGAGGGATGTGGCCCCGGGGCTTGAAGGCTCAGAGAGGGTCATTTGCCTGTTTCACCTCCAAAGTGGACAGTGGACAGTGCCCCGGGGGGTACCCCCACAGGTCCCGGAGAAGTTGCCTGCCCCCAAGGGCAGCAGGCTCCCCTGGACGCGGGGCTTTTTGAAGACTCTGGGTCTCAGCCAGGCAAGTTCTAGGGCCGGGGCAGAGCTGTGTCCCCACATGGCCAGTCAGGCCCCGGCTGAACAGCAGCGGAGAGCCATGGAAGGCCTTCAGCCCTGGCCACCCCTGTGCTTCCTCTGCTGGGGGGAGGGGGAGGCAGAAGGAAGAGCTCTGACACCACCCACCGCTCTGGTCACCGCATGTGGGGCGGGGGCGCCGGGGGGGGTGGTCCTGTGGCTTTTCTTTTCTCTTTTTGACAAGCTTGAGAGTTTTCTCATTACCAAGCTAGTGGACAAAGGCCCGAGCACCTCTTCCGCGAGCCCTCTCCCTGAGGAATAGCGTGAGCTTTGCCCGCTCTGTGCCAGGCGGAGCACACTGTGATGGTTTCCCAGCCACGCGGACGAGAGGGAAGCCACGCGGTTTAGGGTGGGTGGCCACTAGAGCTCAGTCACTCGTCTTTTCCCTGCCTCGAGAACATGGCCACCGAGCCACACGGCACCATGGAGTGCTAGGCCTTTTGGTGCGTGGCTCAGAAACGAAAAGGCCCCGCCTGTGCTGGACACGTGCGCGAGCTGTAGGGTCTGTCGGGAGCACAGCTGGTAGCAGGGATGCACCTCCAGTCCGGGCACGAGCCTGGACCTTGGAGAACAGGGCCGGCATGACACGGTGCGGGGCTGGGGGAGCTGGGAGGGGACCTGGGTCTCCCCCGCGTCCGTGGCACTCTGGCAGGGGTGCTGGGCAGGGCATGTACCCCAGCCCCTCGGTTAGGGTCACCTGGGCCAGAGAGGAGGCCTGGGGCTCAGAAGGTAATTTCGTTCAGTCGAGAGCAGATGGTGCTGGCCAGCCGTGCCCATGAAGGCTGTGATGTGCACACACATGTGTGCGCGTGTCTGCGTGTACACGCGTGTGCATGTCTCTTTCTCCTTGCCCCCAGGGCCCCGCATCACAGCGTAGGCCCTTCATGCTTGGGACCCCCGCCCACCTCCAGAGCTTTGCCCTCGTACCAGTCCCTCCACTCGCCCCTCGCCACCCACCACACCCATCTGAGCCTGGCCAGGCTTCCCCTGCCCACCCAGTCCCTGACCCCTCAGGCCCAGGGTCGTGGGGCTGGCCAAGAGCTCAGGTCCGAATCCCCCACCCTCGGCTGTCCGGTCAGGCTGGGCTGGGCTCTCATGAGGCAGGGGAGGCAGGATCTCTGCCTCCAGGCGCCTGTCTCTTTTCCCCCAGTCGGTGTAGCTGAGGAAGTTCTGTTACTCCGCCCGGCACCGGGACCCAAGCCGGGTGGGGGCTGCTGCCCCCTGGCCCATGATGGGGCCGTGTAGGGCTGGGCGGTGGGCTGGCGCAGGGCGACCTCTGGTGAGCCAGGAGATGGGGGTCCTGGGGAGGGGGCTTTATTTCTGCTTGTCCTCGTCCCCTGAAAACAGCTCGGTGCTACGGTCTCCACTCTGTACCATGACTCAGAACCCTACTGCGTGCTTCCTTCCATGAGGGAGCTCTGGTGCCTCTTCCTGTGGGGTCCTCGCCTGGGATAATTCTTTTTTCTGTTTTTAAGATTTACTTATTTATTTGAGAGGGAGAACGTGAGCAAGAGGAGGGGCAGAGGGGGAGGGAGACAGAGTCTCCAGCAGAGTCCCCGCTGAGTGCAGAGCCCGACGCGGGGCTCGATCCCACGACCCTGAGACCATGACCTGAGCCGAAACCAAGAGTCGGCTGCTCAAGAACTGAGCCACACGGGCGCTTCTACTTGGATAATTCTTTCACTCTGACTTGGCCTTTGTTAGCTGTGACCCTGTCTTGGTTCAGGTGGTGGGAGGAGGAGGCCCCAAGCCTGAAGCTTTCTTTCGTTCCCATGTTTGTGGTGCTGTGAGGTGGGCCCCAGCTTCCGTCCCGGTGAGGCTGCAGTGAGGATGCCTGGGATGACGCTCTTCTCGGAGAGACTCAAGCAGTTCTGCGCTGAGCTTTTGTTTTCAAACTCTAGCGTCCAGAAGGGCACGCGGATCCAGATGCTCTTTCCTGATGGGGTCGATGAGCCTCCGTCATGGCGGAGGTGGCCCTCTGAGTGGGTGCCGTGCTGGCTGGGTCCTGCGCCCCGTGCCCCTGTCCTGGCCAGTGTGGATGTCCCGGGGCAGCTTCTCTGTCCTTCTGACTCAGCCTTGAACTGCAGCCAGGACATCCTGCCTCGTGGAAGGGGTGGCTATGCCCCTGGCCTCTGAGACCGGGACTGGCTGCCCCAGAGTGACCTGGAGATCCTGGGGGGGCCTCTGAGAGCGAGAGGGGCAGCATGCCAAGGGCTGGTGCTGCTCCACAGACCTGGGAAGGCCGGGAGGAGGTGGACTGCCCCCCCACAGCCAGCCCTGGGGGCAGGGAAGGGGGCTGGAGCGTTGCTGGAGGAAGGGGCTTGAAGCCCATGAGCCATGCACACGGGGAGTGGTGCGTACACACATGTGTGCGTGTTGGGGGAGTGGGGGTGGGCGTGGGGGCCCCACGTTTTGAAAAGATCAGTGCAGGCTTTGGGAGCCAGTGAAGCGTGAGCGTTTTCTCTGTCCTGAACTGAAAAGAAGGCTACGGGAAGGGTGGGAGGCAGGAGGCCAGGCAGCAGCTGGTGAGCAGACTGTGCCCCCGGGGCCACTTTCTCTGTGGGGGAAGGATGGCTTGGAGGCCCTGGTGAGTGTCCCTCCCTCAACCGCGGGCTCGTGCCACGGGTGGATGCCCTGGGAGGGGACAGACAGACAGACTTGCATGAGCACACCGTGGCAACGCTGACGGCAGAGTCCACGTGGTGAAGGTGGCCGTCCCGTGGGCAGCTGGGTCTCTGTGCGTCCTGCCCAGCGTGCCCACGCCCTGAGTCAGCCCTCCTCCCCCGTTCCTGACCTGCTAGTGCCCTCTGACCTCCGTCCCCTTCCTGGGAGGCCACCGGGCAGGAACACCCCTAGCCCCAGGGATGTCCCCTGGGGTCCACAACCGTGGGCACAGAGGACACAGGGCGCGGTTGGGGAGGCCACAGTCAGACAGCATCAGACGGGGGACGGGGGCCCATAGTCTTCCCAGCAGCTGCCCAGCCCCCTCCTCTTCGCTCTGAGGGCATTCCAGTGAGGGGAGGGGCCAGGCCCAGGGGTCCAGGCTGCCCACTGGGGACTCGGGCTCCGACTGAAGCTTTCTTAACCACAGAGACGGCGCCGCACACCCTTCCAGAACTTTACTGAGCATTCGAGACGGTGTTGGTAATAGACCACTCATTCTCTGCACAGCAAGCGGGGGGCGGGGGGGTGGTCTAGTGACCTGCCGGACCCTGGGTACGCCCGCTGGGCATTGAGCAAAGTAGGAGACAAAAGGTGGGGGCTTGGCTGGCCCTGGTTCTCCTTGGAGACCGTCTGCGTTTTGGGAGACAATGCCCATCACCTCCTGGCCAAGCCGCCCAGCCTCAGGGGGCTGGTCTGGAGCAACCCACCCACGGCAGGCCTGTGGGGCGGGAGGGCTGTGGCATGCAGGAAAGCGGCCCAGAGCCTGGCGTGTGCCCTGCCCGCGGGCCCGCTCCCCAGTCCCCACTCCCAGCTGTCTCCTTGGACGGACCAGCCTCTGCAGGGCATACTTGGAATGTCCCCCTGCCAGAGTCCTCCTGGAAATATCCGCCACCCCTTTGGGGCCATACACAGCGGCCAGCAGGGCCCAGGATGCACCCACAGCAGCTGTTTCCGGAGCAGGTCGGGGTCCTGTGAGGAGCCAGGGTGGAGGCAGGGCCAGGCGCTCCTGCAGGAGTGCAGGTGTGAAGTCCACGAAGGTCCACCCTGCCAGGCTCTGTCCGTCCCTCGCTGCGGTGCGGGGCAGTGTGGGGCCTGGAGGCCTGTCCGGCCCGCTCGCTCATGGTTCCAGCCCACCCAGCCTGTGGGAGGGACCTGAGGGCGGCTTGCTCAGAGGGGCTCTCCTCGAGTCAGCAGGTGGCCCCCACGCAGCCCACCCAGCTGAGCTAGCTCTGGGTCGGGGACTGGCTCTCCCCGTGCCAATGGTGTGCTGGTGAGTGGGGCGCAGGGGAATCGCGGAGTGCAGCCAGGAGCCCTGCCAGGATGCTGTCCCTTCGCTGCCGCTGTCCCTTCCAGGACATGGCCAGTCCCCTCCAACCCCTGCTGGACGCGCCTTGTCTTGCACATGGACGGGAAGGTGCTGGCTCGGGTGCAGTGGATTTGGCCGTGTTTTCTCCCAGTGTATACGGTCCTGGTTTCTCCTGGTGATGGGCCAGGTTCACAGAACGCGTGAACGAATGCGTGAACGCGTGGGTGCGTTCTGGAGTCGTGACTGGGATCAGAGCCAGCAGGTCTCCCCTGCGGATTAAATATCACCTTCCTGCGCTGCCTGGCTGGCTCGGTCGGGAGAGCATGTGACTGATGCCCTCAGGGTCATGAGCCCCACGCCGGGTGTAGAGATCACTAACAAAACAAAGACACAGACCTTAAAAACAATTGAGCTCCCCAGATATCTCTGAGTGCCTCCAGTTGGTCCTCTGTTGGCCGTGCCTGCAGGGCTGGAGGGCGGGAATCCACCACAGTCCGTGGAGTGAGGACAGAGCCCAGTAGACGGGGAGGGTGCTGACCTGAAGGCCACAGAGCCTCAGCGTCCACTTCCTGCCGAGAGTGCCTCAGAGCCACGTGACTTGGCCTCAGGCATCCTGCCCTGGGTTGGTGGTTGGGCCTGCAACCACGTGAGTCAGAGCGGCCCGGCGTTCCCACGCTTGGGTTGAGGGAGTCCAGGATGGAGGGGACGGTGCTTGCCCAAAGAGGGCCTTTCAAGGCAGAAGGGACACCCCAAGGTGAGGCTTGGGGGCCAGATGCATTTGGAGATTTTTGTTGGAGGGCCCAAGACCATAGCAGATGCTGGGTGGTGGTGATTGGGTGGGAGAGGCAGGCCCTGGGGCGCCCTTGGGGGCCCGCTGCCCCTCAACTGCCCACTACCCCTAGGTCACTGCCTTGGAGCAGCAGGTATTCGACTTTCTGGGCTGTCAGTGGGCACCCATTCTGGCCACCTTTGTCCACATCGTCATGGTCATCCTGGAGCTCTTGGGCACCATCCAGTACTGGCCTCGCTACATTGTGGTGGTGAGTTCATTGTGCTCCCGCACCCCTCCCACGGGCAGGTGGGGCGGGATGACCAGCATGGGGCCTTGGGCGGCATCATGTCCTAGAAACCACCAGAACATCCCGGGAAGTCCGGGATTCAGCCGCTCCACCCTGAGACCTGTCCTGGGGTGGGCTCGGGGAAGTCCTCCTCCAAACGGAGCATGCTGGCTGCCAGACTTGGGGAGCAGAGTCCCCCCGGTTCAAGTCTCCTCCAAGGGTGCTCTGAGTTCACCTTCTCCACCTCTCCCCTTTCTTAACTTTCTAGTACGCGGTGTGGGCGGCCATCTGGGTCACCTGGAACGTCTTCATTATCTGCTTCTACCTGGAAGTGGGGGGACTCTCAAAGGTAAGTCGAGGGGTTGTGGCCAGGCCCCCGTGAGCATTACACGCACCTGCTTGTTGGTCACTGTCTCCCCCATGGTCTGTTCCTGGCACCCAGGACAGCCCTGGCCCACAGGAGGGACTCAGTAAAGGTTTGGGGAAGACTAGTGATTTGATGGGTCGACAGGGGACTGTGGGCACTGGTGGGCAGTGGCCTTGGAGGAGGGGCCCTGGAGCCAGGGTAGTGCCGGGCAGGAGAGGCAGGGCTGGGGGCCAGGGAGCAGAAGGACCAGGGCTGCGAGGGTGCCGGTGGGAACACCTCTAGGGAGCCAGGCTCTTTCAAATGCTGGTAAAGCCCACCGGTCTCTCCCGTGGAGGCAGGGGCCCACATCCAAGCCATGGTTTGCGGGGAGTGTTGGTGGTGAACAAATCCTGAGCGGTGGTTTTGGGCACTTTGTCCATGAGGTTTTATTTCACTGTTGCCTGAAGCTCCGAGCCAGGGACGCGGGTGGGGTTTGACTCCAGGTAGGCCGCGGGGCAGACTGGCTGTTGCTCTGTGGGGTCACACCTGGGGCAGCAGGGGAGGGAAGACAGACGTTAGTTCAAACACCTAAAATGGCAGCCATGGCCAAAGCCGTGAAGGAGGGGCCTGGAGCACCGTGAGAACACACCCCCAGGGTCTGACCTGGGCAGGGAGGCCTTCCTGGAGGAGGCGGTGTGAGCCGGGTAGGGGGCCAGGGCAAGCAAAGGGAGGCCTGCTTGCAGGGGAGTGGCTGAGAGGGCCTTGGGGTCCCTGCCTCCATTGGGGGGCCCACACTGGACTGTGACGGGTGGGTGGGCAGGGTCCCTGCTGCTCACCTGCTCCCATGCTCACCCCCAGGACAGCGAGCTCCTGACCTTCAGCCTCTCCTGGCACTGGTCCTGGTGGCGTGAGCACGGCCTGGGCTGCCTGTGTGAGGAGCCAGAAGCTGGCCTGGGGCCGCCGGATGGACCGGCCTTGGGGCCAGGCGTTGGCTGTGTCCTGGAGCATGGCTACGCCGAAGCCCTGCACAGTGCCCTGCAGATCCAGTTGGCGGTGAGTGGGGGGGGCCGGGGGAGGGGCTCACCCTGCTCTTGGGCCAGGCCTCCCACTTTGCCTCCTCTGGGTCCCCCTCCCTGTCAGTAGAGCCTCAGCGGGCTGCTCTGTGAAGTGGCCTCGGAACCAGCTCCAGCCCCAGCGTGGGTGTGCGGAGGAAAGAAGGGACAGACCCACAGGCTCTGCTGGCGCTGTGGCGGGGGGGGCAGGGGACCACACTGGAGGTATCTGACGCCCCTGCCGGCCCTGGAGGCTCCTTCCCAGCCTCCTCCGAGTCAGAACGGACGCCTGACGGTCAGGGGGGTGGAGACGCAGCTTGGCCACACTGCTGTGTTGATGGGGGGCTGTGACCCTGTGAATAAAACGACAGGATTCCTGGTCACATCTGAACTTCAGACCGACGCCGAGCAAGTTTTCGCGTACGTGCATCCCACGCGGTGTTTATGACACACTCTGACGCTGACACAGTGGTTCATCACGTATCCGAAATTCAAATCTAAGTGGGTGTCCTGTATTTTATCTGCAAGTCCCGAGCAGAGGAGGGGTTTCATGCAGGGGCTGGGAGTGGGCACGAGAGTCTGCAGGCCTCAGGAGCTGAGCCGGCACCCGGCACCCTCTGCCCCATCCAGGCTGGGCGAGCAGTTCTCCTGGGGACTGAGTCTAGCGATAAATCCGTGGCTTCTCCAAGCCTCAGTTTCTCTTCTGTGACCCAGACAGTCAGCCCCCACCCCCCACGGAGGACTGGGCGCCTGGCTTCTGACTCCCATGGAGGGGCTCTGGGGCTAGATGAGAAGGAGGGAGGAGGATTGAAGCACCAACTGCGTGGGAGGCCGGAGTCCTCGGCAGAGTGCCCCCAGCTTGCTGCTGCTAGGGTCCGGGGTCTGCACTCAGCACCAAAGCGCTAAGCCTCGTGGAGCACATGAGGGTGTGGTAGAAGCTACTTCTACCCACGTTCACGAGCCCTGTTCTAAGGGGAGAGTCTGAAATCCGCTGCAGAGTGGCACTCGGCGCCTGTGCCTCCGGCTGGCTGCAGTTGGGGTGGGGCAGGGCATGTGGGGGACGCAGGGCACCAGCACACGGCGTGGCTGATGTCGCCCCCTCATTCTCCTGTGCCTGCCTTGTGTCCCCCGCGTGTGGACGGGGAAAACCAAAGCCAGCGAGGGCGACTGTGGGTACGGAGCTGGACCCCCTGTAGGAGCTGTTGGCTGCAGCTGTAACGTATTATCCTGAAACATCGTGGCTTGAGACAATAAATCTTTCCGTGGGTCTGGAGTCTGGGAATGGCTTAAACGGCTGCTTCTGGCTTGAGATCATTCACGAAGCTACAGTCAGCGGTCGGCGGAGGCTCTGGTCACCTGAAGGCTGGACCGGAGCTGAAGGTGCTGCTTCCAAGGAGGCCCCTGCACGTGGGCTCTCCCCAGGGCTGCTGGGGCGTCCTCACCATGGGGTGGCTCGTCCTGCAGGGCGAGCAGGTGGAGAGGGACGGGGAGGGGCAGCTGCGTGGCCTCTGAGACCCTGTCTTGGACATCACACTCGGTCATTTCTGGAGGATCTCAGTGTTTGCACAGGTCAGCCCTGGTCAGGATGGGAGATGGCCCCGCAGGGCGTGAGTTCCGGGGAGGCCCACCAGGACGGCCCCGGGGCTTCTGCAGGAGCACCGACTCTCCCTGCTGTTGGTTTGCTGCTGGGACAAGGCAGATGGGGCCCAGAGTCCCATCTCCCACCAAGGCCCAACGTCTCTGGATTTGAGCCCTGGGGAGACTCTTTCTCCCTGCCATCTCCCCCAGAGAGATAAGGACCCATCTGAAGAAGAGGAAGATGGAGGCCCATAGTCTGACTTGAGATCAGACAGCTGGCTGCAAGGAGCTCGAACCCAGATGAGGCCGTGGGGGGGAAAGGGGGGTGACAAGCTCTGTTCAGGGAGTGGGGGGCACCTGCAACATGCCCTCCTTTGGGACTTGGGTGGCTGTGGACACAACTGTCTGGTCAGTAGAGCCCAGGCTGGCCTTGACCGTGAGCATGTGGCCTCTGTATTCCAGAAAGCATGGCCCCGTCACCAGGCCCCTCAAAGCCGGGGCCCGGGAAATCCCCTGTGGGCTGCAGCCCCTTCCTCTCTCTCAGAGCCTCCAGGAGCGTCCCCTGGAGGCTGTTCCAGGGTCCAGACGTGATGGGTGTCCCTCATCCAGTGCCACCTTCAGTGGGCTGCGTCCCCGGTGGGTCTGGAGCTTGTCCTGAGCTCACACACCCAGAGGCAGATCCTGTTACAGGGATGCTGTCTGCCCTGGGGTGCTTCTCAGCCGGGGGTCTCGCAGGGAGCTCGTCCTTTCCTGGGCGGGGTGGGGAGCCTTATCCGTGGATGCTTGTGTGAGACAACAAGACTGGATGTGAGTCTCAGGGGCAGAGATCAGGGATCATGGAAGGAGCACGAAGAAACACACTGTGGACTCAGAGGTGGTCAGACAGCCGGGAGGGCCCTGGAGAAAGGGGAGGTCGGGGAGCATCTCCGAAGGCCGGCCTTGCAGCCCTGCGTAGGTGCTTTCCCTGTGTGGCGAAGGGAGAGGCTCTGGGAGGAGCTGGGCCGGTGCCTGCGAGGCCCCTGGAGCCAGAGTCCGTGCTGGGCTCCTCCCTGGACAGGACGCCGGCTGCTCCATGCACGGCCAGGCCACGCCAGCCAGGCCACGTGAGCCGGGCCACACCAGCCAGGCCAGATGGATTTCCGGCTTTACAACCCTGTAGTCCCCCAGGGCCACCGTAACAAAGCACCGGTGACAGGCTGCTGGAAACATTTATTTTTCTCAGTTCTGGAGGCGGGACTCCAAAATCAAGGTGCCGCAGGGTTGGTTCCTGCCAGGGGCGCAGAGGGAGGGTCTGTCCCGGCCGGCGGATGCGGCTCTGTCTTCTCACAGCCTTCTTCCTGTGCATTTTCTGCATCAGATCTCATTACCCTTTTCCTTAAATTTCAGCAGTCACTGACTTTAGGGTCCTCCTGGAGGACTCACGTGGCAAAGTGCTGCCCCCTGGGGACTGGCCGGGCCCCTTTCTGAAGCTGCGTGTCGTGCAGGCTGGGGTGAGTTGTGGAGGGTCAGGTCAGGCCAGGGACAGGCCCTGCTGCAGGCTTTGCTGGCCCCTGGGGAGGCGGGGCAAGGGACCTCCTGAGCCGACTGTCCAACGGCACCCACTTACTCCTGTCCTGCCCCACTTCTGCCACGCTCCCTGAGCCCACGTGGGTCACAGGAGGCCCACAGAACCTAAGGCCTAGTGGTAAGGAGCCAGATGGCTTCGCCCCAGAACCTCGGAACGTTCATCCAGGTGAGCCTGGCACCACACAACAGAGTCCAACCTGGCTAAGGTTCTCCAGCCCTGGACAGTGCTCTGACGACCTGGGTCCGGCTGGTGCCACCTTAGTGAGCCACTTAACCTCTCTGTCTCAGCTTCCTGTTCTGTAAACTGGGAAGCACTGGTGGAAGGGCCTGATGGGGGAAAGCAGGTAAAGGCTCCGGTAAACACACATGCAGTAGGTGCTCAGTCGGTGTTGGATAGTAGTTTCACGAACACGGCAAAGGACACGGGCAGCTCGGACATGTCTGCTGCGGTCACTGGAGGAAGACACATGGGAGCTCGGGCGTGTCCTCTGCGGTCACTGGAGGGGACCGGTCAGATCTGGAGGCTCCTGACTTTGCCTGGTTCAAACAGTGGTGTCAATATCAATGTGTCCAGGTGGATTTTGGATTTATAGGACAGAGGTTCTGCAACCAGCAGCTGACATTGGAAAATGAATTCTGAATCTAGGGCCATCCATGGCTGTCCATGGGGGTCCATGGCATGAGAAAACATGGCAGTTCAGGTGGCCTGCACACTTCAGGGTTCCCTCCTGCCCGGGTTTTAGGCCCTACAGACAATCAGACTATGCGGCATTTAGGGTTCTGCGCCCATAGCCAGGAACCAGAGCTGCCCTTCCCTCTGTGCTGCGGACCTCACTCACTAATATAAAATGAGGGCCACGGTTACCTGAAAATGCGTGGGAACCCAGGTGCCTTCCTTCGAAAGGAGAAAGAACCAACTTGACAAGGATACTCCTCGATGCTTCTGAAGTCATTTACAGAATTTGTGAAAAGGCAACAGGAAGGAAACTGGGGACTAACAAAGGAGGATTCCTGGTGGGAGTTTCCAACATGCTGGTGCTGGTACTGGAGGAGAGTTCCCCGTGTTGGTGGGAGAGACAACCACTGCGTTGCTGCCGTCCTTCACCTGCAGGGATGGACGTTTCCCTCGAGAAATACGAGTTTCTAAATACTGGTCAGCTGGTATGTGCTTGGCCTCGCAGGAGCCAGCCCTCTGATGATTGTTTTGGAGGGCTTGGAGAAGCAAGCCCTTAGCTGGCTGGCCTGAAGTCTGGCTGGCAAGGAGAGAACCAGCCAAAGGAGGCAGAGAGCTCAGTGCTGGTGGAACGGGGTCTGCAGGTACTGCGGGCCTCTGGGAGCTCCAGGGAGGAGCTGGGGGTGGAGCGCGGACGACAGACAGGAGGTGGGAAGGCAGAGGGGTGGCCATGGGGTGGCCTCCCGCAGGACCCCGTGGAGAAAGAGCCCTGGGGTGGGAGGAGGTTTCAGCACCATGGCCAGCTCCGGTCCTGGGCCCTTCCCGGGAGGAACGCCAGGTACCGCGGCCGGCCCAGCCGCACAGCAGCGCCCGGAAGGCTGTTTGGGAGGAGACCGGCTTGTCTGAGTCAGCATAGAGCAGGCCCACTGCCTGCTGCCTAGAAGGATGGGGGCTTCCAGAGCAGGGCACAGCACCTTGTCTCCTCCCTCCCGGCACTGAGGGGGACCGTTGGGCCTGATCTGTGCATGAAGAAACAAGACCCAGAGCTCACGCAAACCCCTCAGGTCTCACCGCTGCTGGTGGAGGGCTGGCCACGCCCAGAAGGCTGCCGGAAACTCTGTCCTTCCCGAGGTCCGTGCTGCTGGCCACCTTCCTTCCCCTCTACCATTTCTCACCCCATCATGGGCTGTGCTAGTCTCAGACAGACCCCACCACCCTCTCCCAGAAGATCTGCTGGGGCTTCTCCGTAGCAGTCACCCCTGTGAAGCATCTTTTCTCTTTGTCCCTCTGACCAGTCAGGATCCCAGCAAGACCGAGATGGTGCACTTAGGTAAGGTCAGTTCCCGGGGGCTGGTGAAGGGGCTGTTCTAAGTGTGGGTGCCACACCAGGGACTACACAGGGTATCCCACTCCCTTGGGTGCATAGCCACCAAGCTGTTGCCCCTCTGGCCTGCAGGGGTGTGGGGAGGAGTTACATCCAGGCAGAGCTCTTTGGAGCTGTCCCCCTGCCCCTGGGAGGCAGTCCTGCAGAGAAGGGACCGAGGGATCCACGCTTTGTTTCTCTCCTTCCCCTCTCCTGCTGGGCTCCCCATTGGCCAACCCAAGCAGGAGGATGCTGGAGTCTGGACACCATCCACACCGCAAAGGGTGGAGAACGTGGAGGAGGGTCAGGTGGAGCACCTTCACGCCACCGCCATCAGACTCTTGCTCCAAGCTCCATCCTTGGGGTGGAGACCGTTGCTTGGTATGGGAGATGCTCAGACGCCCGACAGCACGACCTCACCATCATCGGCAGCTTCCCAGCATCTGCGGTGGAGGCTGACTTTGCTTCCCTGGGCAGAGCCTCCCAGATGAGCTGGGGCTGCCGGCCCCTTCCAAGACCCTGTGAGCACACGGGGCTGTGGGCCTTTCATGGGAACCTCTAGCTGCCCTGTGGCATTGAGATGCGTTTTGCTGTCAAGTTATAAACAGGCAGTTGTGCTCAGGGACCACTCTGTGCTCTGGCTGTGAGTCAGGGGTGGTCCCCTCATTCTCATTTAAGGGGGATGCAGTTCCCCGATGGCGGTGAATGCCACACTTGGGAGGTGCTCACCCTTGGTTAGCATTGCCTGGGCCCCACAAGTGCGGAGAGACTGGACCACGGGCAGCGCCAGCCCCGCACCATCTCGGCCAGAGCCCTTTCTCCCACAGTGGCCCTGGTGCCTGGGTGTCCACGGGGCACTTAATGCCTGCCTGCCCTCTCCCCTGAAGTCTGAGCGTCCTCCTGTGAGCCTGGCTGGGGAGCCTCTGCCCAATCAAACCCCTGACTCCCTTGGGACAACAGCCAGCCCTGTCCACTCTGCCCAGAACTGCCCGCTGAGCTGGGTCCTTGGCACTTTCAGCCGAACCATCCAGCTTGGCTGGCTCCAACTTCTCCAGCCAGGGCTGCATGTGGGCGCCCCCTCCCCAAGGAGGAGAAAGCTGGTGGTTGGCTGCTTATGGCAAGAGGCCCCGGGGATGATGGCCGGGCTGGAACTGGGGGGGTGGGTTCAGTTTGGGGGTCCATCAGCTGTGGTCGTGTCTCTGAGGGCTTCTCTCTGCACCTCAGCCTCATCTTCCCGACTCGTCCATTGGCCAGCCCTTACCCCGCTCACCCTCATCCCTGCAGTGCCCCCCACAGAGGAAGTCAGACGCCGCCTGGAACATCAAAGCTAGAGAAGTTGCACAGATCCGCTCTCCTTGTCCATTTTACAGACAAGGAAACAGGCCTAGGAGGGGCTGTGGCCTCGTGGTCCGGACACTCTGGGGCTTCTGTCCCCACGCCTCGAGCTTGCCTTGTCCTCATCCCGACCTCTGGGTGTCTTTCAGCTCGTGGGCTTCATCTATGGCTGCTACATGGTCAGCGTTTTCACCGAGGAGGAGGACAGCTGTGAGTGTGTGGCTGCCGGGCTCCCACAACAGCCTCTTGGTGGCCTGGCCTGGACCCTCCAGGCAGTGGCGGCGGGGAGGGGAGCAGAAGGCTCACAGTGACTCTGGCCATTCTCCTGGCCTGTCATCGCAAAGCCTGAGGCCTCGCCTCTTAGAGGGATCCCCCTGCCCTCAGGGGTCCTTGCCTGAGCAGAGAGGGTGGGGGGCCCAGCCACCTGAGAAGAGATGAGGAGGGGCCCCGGGCTGTGGGCACCAGGGGTCAGCTCATACCAAGCCCCCAGGTCCAAGGGCTCCTGTGCTGCAGAGCTGGTCCCCCACAGCCCCCACAGCAGCTGTGGGTGGAAGGTTGAACCCTCAGACCTGCAGAGGGATGGGCCCCTCGGCCTCCCTGCACCTGAGATCGGGCCCTCCTGGCTGTGGTGTCCCTATCAGGCCCTCAGTGCCCGCTGGACCCGTCGGAGCAGTATTTTTGCTTCCTGCTCACAGAGGGGGGCCCCGTTGACCTTCCTCTGATTTATAACTCCAATGCTCAGGCACTCTTGTCGGCCCCGACTGCCCCAGCTTTGGCGTAGTTTCCTGGGAAGACTCTGCAGAGGACAAAGCTGGCGTGCATGGGGACTGGGCGCACCCAGGGGGCCTTGGCTCCCGTGGGCAGAGCCCTCCTTGGGGTCAGAACGGGGATCCAGATTTTCTGTTCCCAGGGGTCAGGTGGCTGTGGAGCTGGCAGTCCATGGGTCCAAATGGCATCCTTTTATACTGGGAGACCAGGCTTGCTCTGGACCAGCCCCCAGATCCCCCAGCTGTCGTGCTGCATGACCCCCAAACCGTCATTCAGACCACTGCTGGCTGGGAGAGAACCAGAGGGAATTCACGTGTTGGTTACATTAAAATGTTTTGAGATGGGAGCCACACCTGGGGGTTCGGAAATGCGTTAGCTCTGCCCAGCAAGCCCAGCTACCCACTGGCTGCCCAGCACAGCTTCAAGGGGCAGGTGGCTGATGCTGGTGGATGTGATGGGGGCATGGTTGGGTCACAGTGAAGCTCTCCGAAGCCCCGAGGACCAGGGCCATCCCTGCAGGCCACCTCCCCCTGCTGAGCTCGTCAGTGTCCACTGGAATATTTTACCACGGGAGTCACAGTGTTCATCTCCAGAGGGATATGGCCAGGTCTGGGCCGGGCCTGGGGCAGTGCCTGCCCTCCCCCGGGGCCCCCAGGCTCGCCCCCGCCTCTGCCATCACCACACCAGGGTTGTGGTTGGGTGTGTTCTCCGTTCTGCCATCTTCTCCATTGTTTGGGTCTTGGTTTCTTTCAGTTGATTTCATTGGTGGATCTGACCCATTTCCTCTTCACCACGGCAATGAAAAGCCTTCCGACCTCTTGTTCAAGCAGGCGTACTTGTATGTCTGGCCAGCAGAGCCTGCCGCTGGCTGGGCCTAGCCAGTTGGGTTAGCACAGCCGTGAGGCTTCTCTCCTTGTGGAAGCCTCACCAGCCATCCGTCTGTCCATCCACCCATCCATCCATCCATCCATCATCTGTTCGTCTACGTATGCCAGCTCCGGGCTGGGTAGGGAGGTGTCAAGGCTCCGGGGCTCGGCCCCCACCCCCTGGAGCTCCAAGCCCAGCAGAGTCTATGGAGTTGGGTCTAGGACGGTTTTGTGCCAGGGGGCTGGGGGGGCATGGAGAGGCCACGTCCCAGGAGGGCAACGTGGCTGTTCTCTAGGTGTCTCACTGCAGCAGGAAATTTGGGGTGTTGGTTTCTTTGGAGAATCAGGCTTCTTTGCTCTTAAAAAGCAGTGTCCAGGACCCTGAACTCTCCCAGGCTCAGGGTGGGGGTACCTGGGCCGCTGTCCACCTCCTCTCAAGCAGCCTTTGCCAGGTCCCACACATAATCCTGAAATTTGGGGTCCAAGAGCCAGCTGGGGGTCCTTCTCTCCATAGAGCTGGACTTGCTCCATCCCACGCAGGCCCTCGGACACAATCCTGCCCTTCCGGCGACACCTGTGGCGGGGGACCCCGGCGCTCTTGGCAGCCTCACCCTTTCTGCCCTATAAGTGAAGGCCCATCTCAGCCAAGGGCCATCAGGGGTAGCAAGCGTCCCATCTCCGTGACAGGACAGCCCTCACTCAGGCCGCCGAGCCAGGGCAGAGTATGAGAGCAGACACGCGGGCACACGGGGCTCTGAAGGACTTCGCCAGGCTGCACGGGACTCTAGGGATCTCCTCCAGTCATTGGAGCCTGGGTGGGCCCCTCACTCCACCCCCAGCTTGGTGGCCCAAACCCTGCTGTCTGCAGACACAAGGCGGGGCCTGCCCAGAAGCCCCGCCCCTGCCAAAGGCCAGGAAGCCCTGGGCTGCTGGGATGTTGTCCCTTTTGCATTTGGGACTCTCCAAGGCAAGAGGGCACAGCAGCCCCTGCTGAGGGCTGACTGCCCCAGCCTTCCTGCCCCGGTGCTAAGGGCTGCCCCTCAGGGCGCTCTGACCTCTGCCCACCCCCACCTTGTCCCCACAGGCCTGCATAAGTAAAGAAGCACCAATCTCTCCCGTGTGCGACCTCCAGGCCCAGGGACCACCGAAGACTGTGGGGAGACTCACCTGGCCTCCCTACTCCCAGGGCCCTGCAGGTGGCCAGAGCATCTGCCCCCGGGGCCAGGTGATGGGACACCAGACAGGGCCAGTGCCAGGCTTCGGATGGCTGCAACTTCAAAACAATTTATAATTTCCTTTTTCTTAAAAAACAAAAACAGAGAAGACACAGAAGCCTCCAGCAGCGCTGGGATCTCTGTCACCCACAGCCGGCCTGGGACTGCTGTCCGGCGAGCCCACCCTGGGTGCCTACGCCAGCCCCAGGCCCCCCGAGGCTGCACACCCCGTGGCTGGGGGAGGGGTGGCCACAGGGACTTTGAGACAGGAATGTGTGACCCCACCACGAAGGTCAGTGTAAACCCACAGTGACCCCCCTGCCCCGGGCAGCCGGGCTCCTGATTAAATACTGCACACCCCGGCTGCCATGAGCTGTCACCCAGACAAAGCCCCCACCTGCCCCAGGGGCCACCGATGGAGCCCTGGGTGGGCCGCTGGGCTTGACCAGGAGTACAGGCTCCCTCTGCCCACAGAGCAAGGTGCTTCCTTGTCCTTAGCCAGCGGTGCTGTTCACAGAAGAGGTTTAAGCCCTGGTCCTGCAGCGTCCCCACAGTACCCCCAAATAGAAAGTAGAAAGGACGCTGCCCCGTAGACCTCCTTCCTTGAGACGCAGGAGTTTGGTGGAGAATTACAAGCTCAGTCTCCGAAGTGGCCCGGGGCTAGAGGTTTTAGAAGTCCTCACAACGCAGAGAAGAACAGAACGAGGGAGAGGAGAGGGGACGGAAGGGGCCCTGTGGACACGAGGAGGCATGTGGGGAGATGTGTGGCCGTGCTGCCCCGCTGATAAGTGGGCGGGGGCGGGGGACCTTCTGGAACAGAGGCTGCTGAGCACCATCCAGGGAAAACCCACTTTATTGTGAATCTCCAAAAGCATCCAAGCATCAGTAAAACCACCTTTACACCCACTCCCTTTGCCATGACGTCTGCAGCTCCCTTCCACCCTGGGCTGCGTCTGGGGACTTGGGACAGCCCGTTGTGGATGCCAGCTCAGCTGTCCTCAGCAGGCCTGCCGTGTGGCCCGAGGGACCGGCGGAGATGGGCAGGGTGCCCGCCAGCTCTTGAAGGACCTGGGAGAGAAGGAGGGATGAGTGGGCTACTCCTGGTTGGCTTGTCCATGGACCAGAGACTCCAGCCTGCAGGAAGCTCCCTCTCCGGCCACTTGACCCCCCTGGAAGACGCTTGGAGAGACGGGATGGGGGGACACAGAATCCTTTGACTACCAGGAGGAGGCCATGCTTCCTGCCAGCCATAAAAATCCAAGGTTCACGCCTTCCTGCCTGGCCTTGGCCGCCAGGTTAAGGTCTCTGCCCAGGCCCTGCCTCATGACAGCCCCACCTCCAGAGCCATCCTCCCCTGGGCCTGGCTGTAGCCCACACACCCGGCTGGACAGGGGCTTTATCCCCCCGATCCCTGGGGAAGTCAAGGCAGAGTTGGGCCCAGCTGGTATGGTTAAAGTGCCCCAGCAGGTGGTGGCCAGCCGGGGTGCTGTGTTGAGAAGGACCCAGAGCGTGGGTGTGAGCGTCGAGGGAAGGTAATGGGTTGATCAGCAACATCTGCCGGGGCCAGGGAGCTGGAAGAGGTAGAGGTGCTCCCTCCTGCCGCCGCCCACGCCAGTCAGCCCCGGTGTTGAGATCGCGGGAGACGAGGTGTGCTGGGGGTCCCTGTCCAGGCCCGTCCTGACATCTCTGAGGCCCGTGTGGGGACGTGCCCACGTCAGGCCAGGCTGGGCTCTGCCTGTGGGTAGCTCTGTGGCCACTCACCTGGCCTAGGGCAGGAAGGTGCGCACGCGGCTGCGGATGGGGGCCCTGCAGATGGGGCACAGCTGCAGGGCTGGGGCGCACTCGGCACAGACCAGGTGGCCGCAGGGCACGAAGACCGTGCCCACAGCGCGGTCCAGGCACACCTTGCAGGTCCGCTCCTCCCACAGGCACAGCAGCTGCTCTTCTGTATCCCGGGCTCCTGGGGGTTCGAGAACCCAGCAGCACCCTCTGGGCCGGGGCTCCCCCCGCTTCCTCCAAGGACACGGTGTCCACCCCCAGACCTCCACCTTCTGTCCTGGGCTAATGGAGGGGACCCCTCCACCAGGATGCGGGGGAGCTGGCCCTGCCCCCGTGGGTCCCACCCTCACCTGGCTCGCTGGCACCTTCTGACTGGACCTCTCTTCTGGGTGTGGGCCGCTCAGGACCCGTGTGGACAGGAGCTGTAGGTGGTGAGGAACAGACTAGAGGCCCCCGGGGAAGTGAAACCCCACGCGGAGGGGCCACAGGCCAGGCATGGCTCTGGCAGGAGCCCACCCGGCCCCACAGCCCCCTCCTGCCCCTCCACGGCACGCCGGAACCCCCAGGGCCCACGCCACCATGACGTGCCCCTGCAGACCCCGCGTGGTGGCCGAGGGGCTTGTGCCCGGCGCCGTGGGGCTGCGAGGAGAGCTGTGCCCAGAAGGGACGAGCAGGGAGAGCCCAGGGCGGGGACGCACGTCTGGCCGCTGTCACCCGGCCCCCCTCCTCTTCCTGGAATAGGTCGGCCGCCAGCTGGGACACGGAGATGCCCGCGGGCGCCGCCCACTGGTGCCTGCTGCGGCAGCTGCTGTGTGTGGCTCGGCCCGAAGCCCACGCGCAGCACGGCCCGCACCGCTGGGCACCGGCTCCACGCGGACCAGTCCTGGCTGCCCCCGGCACCTGCCGGCAGGGTGAGGGGCACTGGGCCGAGGGCAGGGAGGGCTGGGGGGGCTCAGGGTCACAGGAGAGGGGCAGCGGCTTGCCACCGTGGCCGGCCCCCAAGGGCCTCTGTGGCCGTCACGGCCACCTTGTTGACGTTCCAGGGAGGGCTGTTCCCCCTTGTTCAGAGGCGCCACCACACGGGAAAGACAGTAAGAGCTCATCGCCAGGCCACTACAGACAGAACCCCGCCAGGCGCCGGGCGCTGCTCCCAGAGCATCACGCAGACCGGCTCGGTTCCAGGCGAGGGCGACGCCATCCCTGTGTCAGAGCTCAGGGCGATGAGGCTCAGAGAGCAGAGGTCACTTGCTACAGACTTAGAAGAGCCAGGGTCTGAACCCTGGAGCCCTCGGACCCTTGCCCCGCAGTCCCTACACGCTGCAGGTGTAGACAGCGCCCCCACCCCCCGCGCGCTCCCGACTGCAGCCCCCTCCGGGGCGAGGGGCACGGGCTGCACGGCTGCCTCTCTTCACGCTCCCATTGTCGGCCGTGGGACTGGCGATGCCCACAGCGGGCTGCTCAGTGGTAGCGGGGACTGCCTTCCCTCCCCCGAGCACCAGACACACAGGGCACCTGCATGCAGCCCCCTGCCCCCCACACAAGCCCAGGTAGCACCCTCACACCTGGCCAAGTAGCCTCACTGTCCCTGCACTGAACACCTCTGCCACAGTGCAGGCCGCAGGTGCCCAGGGAGCAGAGCACGGGGCATGCACCTCGGCTCACCTGAGGGGGTGGCAGGGGCCCCGTCTTCTGGTTCTTCCAATCGGTCCTGAAAGGAGCCAGAGAACATCTGTGCCCTGAGTAGAGGGAGGAGTGGGGGTGGGGAGGGACCCGCCCCACCCGAGCCCTAAGGAGAGGCAGGACTCACCCAGGAGCCGGGCAGGTGGCAACAAGCCTCCTGGACACTGCAGACAAAGTCCCATCCCTTTGTCTGGAGCAGGAATTCGCACCTGGAGAAAGCAGGTTGGGAGGTCTCGTGGCAGCGGGCTTGGGCTGCTGGAGGACCCCTCCAGCCAGCCTAGTGCCCCCTAGTGCCCTGCAGAGGGCAGCTGGGGCTGAGTGTCAGGCACTTGCTGGGAAGGCTGTTTTGGAGACAGCCTCTGTGGAGCATCAGGGAAGAAACAGCAAAAATGCTATCCCCAGAGGCCCCCATCCCCAGGATTCAACACCCACCCCCGTGCCCAGCCCCAGGAGCGGCCTGCAGGGTCCTTACCTGGGGAACCACTTGGCATGCTCTGTCCAGGGGTCATCCCCTTGCTCCCAGCTCTGCAGACCCCCATAGCAGAAGAAGCACCTCACTTTGTCTTGCTGGCCTAGGTGGAGCACGGATGCTGGCCTTGCCCACACCCGGCCTCTCAGCACCCACCCACTTGGCCAGGCGTGCCCCCCAAGGCCGTGGGGGCTCCCAGGTGGCCTTTCCTTATGTGGCAAGGGTTATCTGGGGTCACTCAGGAACCCTGGGGGCTCCCACTGCTCTCTGCCCCCCTTTGCCCTGTATTCTTCTTGGATTTCACATGGACCCCACTTTCTCAAAGGTGAAGTGGGGATAGCAGGGCCTTGGGACTGATGCAGACATTCATTCACAGGAAGGCAGGCAGGTCGGGGCTGCTACAGGCCTGTCCCTGGACCCCAGGGGCCCCGTGGACACCCCAGACACCTCCCATCCCAACTGCCCCGTGTACTCGCCACTGTGTGAAGCACCCGAGGAGAGACTCCGAGGGGGAGGGACAGGTGTGGAAAGGCCGCAGGACCCCTGCCCCCCTCTGTGTCAGGCCCAGACCCGCCCTGCCCTGGGGGAGGGGCTCCAGGCCAGCAGGGTCCCGAATGGCACCCAGGCCCCCAGAACTCACCGGTGTGGAAGAAGCCTGCGGCAGCCAGCAGCTCAGGCCGCACCACGGCGGTCAGTGGCCAGTCATAGAAGGAGGCCAGCCGCAGCTCCTCAGAGCCCATCCCGGGGAAGGCCGGCCTTGCGGATGGGGCAGCCCTGGCCCCCTCCTCCTCCTCCTCCTCCCGCTCTGCAAGGGGGCGCAGCTGGCCCAGGATCTGCCCATCCATGTGGTCCTGGCCTCCCCAGGACACAGTGCAGCAGGTGCCCTGGCCCAAGGTGTGGCCACACAGAGAGAGGGGCCCACAGCGCCCCTGTGTGGGACTGTTGTCAGCCGCCCAGCGGCTTAGCTCTGGGCCGCAGCACCAGCACTTGGCCCTGCCCTCGGGCCCCATGGAGCAAGCACCAGCCCTGACCAGTCCTGCAGC